AATGCACAAAGGGTTGTAAGTTGTGAAGAAGTCATGGAAGGTTTACATTCTTGCATTGAAAGATTGGCTCCAAATCCTTAAATAGAAGACCTAATGTTAAGAGAATTAAGCAAGTATCAAAATGCAGAAGGACTATTTGGTAGAAATGCGGCTATTAGGCAAAGGAAGGCAATGGCACCAGGTAATCATCTTAAATTGAAAATATATTTTTATACTTAGTTACATACATACTATGGATATTTTACTTTTTGAATATTTGTTCCTTATAGCGGTGTGGTGGACAACATTTGGATCTTCATCTCCCAACTTGCAAAAGTTTGCTATACGAGTTCTTAGTCTTACTTGTAGTGCTACAAGTTGCGAGAGAAATTGGGGTCTGTTTCAACATGTAAGTGTTGTACATAACATTATAAATTCGGTATCTGATTTTAAATATATCAACTAATATCCAATTAAACTTTTGACAGCTTCACACCAAAAAGCGGAATAGATTAGCACAAGAAAGATTGAATGACATGGTCTATGTGAAATTCAATCGTGCCTTGCAACGTAGATATAAGGAGGGAAGTAGTGATCCTATCATCCTAGAAGACATAGACGAAAGTAATGAGTGGTTGATGGGGAGGATGGACAATGATGATGAAGATGATGATTTGGTATTTATTGATGATGATCTTACGTGGGATGACGTAGGTAGAGCTTCCGGGGCGTATGAGACTCCTCATTTCACTAGAGCATCAAGAGGGAGCCGGAGAGTAAACGATGATGGGTTGGGTCCATCAAGAGCTAGAAGTGCTAGAGGAAAAGAACATGCTCTTCAGGATGAAGATGATGAAGATGATGAAGTTGAGGTGGAAGCATATATTGGAGGATTTGATAATGATGAGGGAGATGAACCCATGTTGTGGTTTGATGATGCTGATCTTGGGGAGTATTAGTTGGTCACTTGGTTGTTCATTTAGTTTAGGGATTGAGACTATTAGACATTTACTTGTGTAATTGTGTTCTTCATGGTAGTAGTATGTGTGTTCTGTACTTCTGTTATTCTGATTCACGAACTTTTTAAGATTCCAATGCCACTTTTTTTTTTTTAACTATTTTATGTTATAAATAAAGTATTTTGATAGGTAAGTATTTTTAAGGTAGAAATTGATATGTAGAATTAATTTATAAATATTTTTTGAATACCGGGCGTATCACGTGCGTGATGCGAGCGCATCAGCATCACGCATCACGCATCGGCTTCCGGGACCCTTAACGCATCGGACCGCATCGCGCTTTTTAAAACCAAGATTATGACGGAGAAACGAAGAGATGAACGTACCACCACATATATCACTTGGATCCGTCCCAGTCATATTTAACATTTAACACCGACAAGTTCCGATAACCCTGATAATGGTGTTTGAGGTCCAGCTTGATTACCATATAATTAATGTTTCAATTCAGATTCATGTTTAATAATCTGAGTATTTTATAGCATTTCTAACAAAATTTTCAATTTTGTTTAAATAGAAAGTTAAAAATCAAAATCTCTAAAAAGAATATATAAACTCACCTATAACAGATCTCCATTTCAGATACTAAAACATCAGTTACGTTATTAAAATATATTCGTTACATATTATAAGATATTGTTTCTCTCTCATAAAAATTTAATTTCAAGACCTTTTATTTTCGATAACAATAAAATGTTATCTGTCACTAAAAAATAATCACTTTTAAGAAATTCTTCATATTTGGAGAAATTTTCTTTCACTCTCTTATTTTCTTTATCTTAGAGTATCCGTTGAAGAAAAAACACAACGAAAATCTCTATTTTCTTCATTTTAAAAATGTTGTTAAAGATACTCCTATTACCTAGAATTCAAGTTGAGTTAGCTTCGTTACTTGAATGGAATTGTTTTTCACCTTCAAACATTTTCTTTAAATCTCAAATTAGAACTCCCGAAACTCTTTCATTGGTTTAACTTAGACTCTGGTTTGGGATTTTTTTTTAAATTAAAAACAAAAGTTATATATATATATATATATATATATATATAAAAGAGATCATCTGAGAATAAGAGTTATTGTAATAACTGTAAGGACACTTCTGAGCTTTTGAATAAGTTGACTTTTTAATCGAACTTAGGGTTTGTTTGTTTTTTGATCTTCACCACTTAATTACCATTTATGTTTGAGTCCCTCAAACATTTTTGGAATTCAAACTGTTTGTTTTTCTTTTATTTTCATAGTCTTCTATCTTTTAATAGGGTCTGGATAAAAGAGGTAAGATAATGTCTTATTTCCTCTTATTTGCCTATCACGCCTGACACGACTCGATCTTGAATCTTCAAGGTATGTCTATCTCCCCTCTAGATTTCTATTCGGTTTCGTCCTTATGGTTCGTTGTTGTGGGTTTTCGTAGTTTTCGTCCATGTTTAATTTCGTTCATTATTTTCATCCCTCGTTTGTGGTTTGTCCCTATGGGGTTTTTGGGTCGATTGTTTTTAAGATATGGAGAATTGTGTGACTAGCTTTGACGATTACTTTGTATTTCAGATATGAAGAGTTATGGGAATGGTTTTGTGGGTCGACAATTTCTTTGACGTTTTCCTTTTCTTCGTTTGCTTTCCCAGTTTTCTACCTTACTTTTTTTTTCGAGTGGAGGTTGCTTAAAAGCAATCTAATTCGAAGCCATTTTGATTTATGAAAGGCAGGCAAGTTTTGTTGCTTGTATGTATTGATTGAAGAATAAAAAGTGGTTTTTGAGGAAGAAAATGAGCACAGGAGTAAGCACGTTTCTAATAAGATGGATCAATTTTCTGAATGCATGATGGGTGTTTGTTAAAATGCCTCTATAGTAGATTCATTAAATGAAAACGTGAATTTTTTCTGTCAAAGCATGATGGGTGTTTGTTAAAATATGTCACTAGTAGATTTGTTAAATGAAAGCAGAAATTTCTGGTCTGAATGCATGATGGGCATTTGTTAAAATGCTTCAGTGGTAGATCTAGATTCATTAACAATTGTTCCTTTATTTTTAGATGTTGGGTTCTTTTGGTTCAACTTTCTTGATAGGTATTTGATGTTGTTTTTACTTGACCATTGAAGTTTGTTCATTTACGATATTGCAGAAATATACTTCTTCTACTCATTTTGCAGTCTTTGTAGAAAGATACCACTTCTTGGTCAATGTTTGAATTTCCAATTATGATTAGGGAACTGTAGTTCTTTCAGTGGTTTGGTTTGCGGGATTTAGATTTGGAATTGGATTTCATTCCAATCATGTGTTAGTTTTAAAAAAATAAACCACTGATTCAGATTTCAGACTTCAAACGTTTGTCATTTTACAAAAACAAAGAGTTTTACTGATTCGAATTTCATACTTCAGCACCTCTAAAAAGACAAGCGTTACTTAAATTTTTTTCAACTACATTCATTTACCTTCAATTAGATTTTATTACCTTCAGCTACATTCATCTATCTTTCAAATTTATCTTAACTTTTATGTCATTTTCACGAACTTTTACATACATTTCATCAATTTCACATGTAGGAATTTGTTAGATTTCCGGTCATGATAATAAAAAAAAAAGGGTAATAAATGTAGTTGAATATAGATAAAGTTATATGAATATATATAAAGGTTTCTCACCTTGTCGTCATTACTCTTATTTTTACCGGAACAAAACCTATCTTTACTATTAGGTATTTTAATAAAATAATAAATATCGACTTACGTAATATTATGTCCACATAATTTTTACCAAAAATGAGGAGGATGTGTGAGTTTTTTTATTGTATTTGTCGTATATAAATATTATATACTTCAAAAAAATATATCGAAAGAGATCTACCTTTGAAATTTGAACGACAGAAACAGATGGTCAAAAAAAGAAATTCCAAGTTAGAAGAATTCAAAGGTTAGAAAACGAATGTAGAAAAGCAAGTTATTGACTCTATATTTAAATCTTGTCATATGCAATAATTTCGTTGTCTACCTTTATATAGTCTCAAATCTATATTTTATTAAGTTGAAAAGTCGTAAAAATAGATTATTATACGTTAAGTACTTTTTTATGCACCTTTCTTAAAATATAAAGGTATCTGTATAATTATTTTGTGCCGAAGTTTCTAAAGCTTTTTATTTGAACTTCAAAACATATTTAGATAGAAGATAAATGTCATAACTATCCATAAGTAATATATATATATATATATATATATATTATCTTATAAAGCATTTGACTAAAACTCTTAAACCCGTTTATCCCTAAATGATTTCATCCCTATCCAATTTCATCTCATATCTGAATTCGTATAACTAACTGCAGATAAACACAGTCAAATACAGGATAAACATCTCATTTTAAATATAAAAAATCTTTAATATAATTAGGATAATCATTGAGTTCTAACAGAATACTTAATTATTATCAGATTTCAGACGCAAAAAACAAACAGTCTGACTGATTCAAATTTCAGACTTCAGCACAACCTCTTAAAAATCAGAAGTGAATTCAGACTTCAGACTTCAGCACCTCTTAAAAAACAAACGTCACCTTAATATGCATGCTTATATGAGAGAAGTGTGTCAATACGATATATATTTTGAACCCATGAATCTGAATAGATCATAAGTCTAAACCAAATTCTCTTTATTATTTGCAACCTACAAAATTAATTAGTTCAATAATGATAACAAAGTTGCGTTTGGTATCCAAACTACGGAAGGCAGGACTGAACAAGACATAACAGATAAAATAATCAATTTACCCTGAACGAGTTGTTTATATATTTTGATTAATTATGTAATTTATCAAATTATAATAAAATAAATATAGTATATAACAATATATATCATTAAAATTTCATCAGACAATAAAAATGACACAAGAATAAACAGTGTATGTAGCTTCCAATATTTATTTTACACCTTTTCCATATGATTTTTTATTATTAACATTTAATAAATTACATAAGTTAATCAAAATATAAAAACTGTGTAAAACTAATATTTAGATGATAAGAAGGTGAAAGTTTAAAGAGTATAAAATATAAAATAAAATTTAAAAAATGAATAAAATGTAAAGAAGAAAGAGTATTTAATGTTATTATAAGAGAATTAAATTTTATTTTGGGGTTATACTGATAAAAATGTAAGTCTATTCCACCTTGTTCAAGTTTGTTTCATGGATGAAACTGGAACATGTATGTTCTACTTTGTTTGACTCTCTTGTGTCATTATGTAGGTTTATGAACATTAGTTGGATTCTACATTATATATATATATATATATATATATATATATATGATTTTATTTATAAAGTTTTTTTTATATAATTTAAAATTCTCATAAGCTAACACCATGTTGAGTGATTCTTGAGAAGTTTTTATAAAAACTTGGTTCATAAACAAGAACGCTAACTTCTTTTCTTGATTAACTACTTTTTTTTTATTTCTTGTTTTAGTTAGAGATTGTTTTGTTTATTTACCTTTTAATAGTTTTATTAAGAAGCAGTCTTTAAACTAATAAAAAGTGAATCGTGTTTGATAAAAAAAATGTCTCTTAGTGGTATTAAAACCCTTCTTGGACCTCCTTAGCCATTCAGGACCCTAATCTCATTATGAAAAAATTACCACAAAATTATATTTCATTTTGTATTATATCATAAAAGTCTCTTAATCATTATGACAATTTATGAATCCAAACTTGTGATGGATGCTTTTAGGTCTTGTTCTATTTGAATTTTACCATGTCACATTTATAGTTATATGTTTTACATTTTCACTACAGAACTCATTTACTTTTTGTAAATGTTGAAGTTTAAAACAATTGATTTGATACCCACAAGTGCAATCTTTATAATTGGTTCATCTTCATCCTTACTTGTTAGTTAATCAAGCATTTTGAAGATGGGATGCAAAGGTATTTGCATATCAACCATATCCA